CCACAGTCTTTTGTGCCCAGCTTCTTCGATTCAGCATGATGCTGTTGAGATAGATCCAGGTCATTCACTGCACATTAGTCGTTCTCTTCATTACTGAATAGCTTTCCATTATGTAAAAATGCCAGTGTGTATGTACATCCATTTTCCTGTTAAGGGACACTGGGTCTATTTTTAGTTTTTGGCTATTATAAATAAAGCCACTATGAATGTACTTGTATAAGTCAAGATTTTTGTGGACATATGTTACCACTTCTCTCTTGTAAATACATAGAGGAATTGCTGGAAGCCAAACAGTTCTCCAAGGCTGGTTTAGCATATTACACTACCACCAACAACGTATGAGAATTCCAGATGCTCCTTGCTAACACTTGGTGTTGTCATTGCCATTCTCTTGGATGTAAAGTGACATTTTATTGGTTTTAAATTGCATTTTACTGATGACTAATGATGTTGAAAACTCTCATGTGGACTGGATTTTGCCAATATTTATTGTATTTTTTTAAATTAGTGAAATAATTCTTTATGCTGGACATGTCTTTGGTCAAATATGTATTACAAACATTTTATCTGAGTCTCTGGTGTCTATACATTTTTTTGCTTTTATTATTTTTAAATTGACACATAATTGTACATATTTATGGGGTACAGTGTGATATTTCAATACATATATACAATGCACAATGATCAAATCAGGGTAATTAGCATACCCATCATGTCAAATATTTATCATTTATGTTGGAAACATTCAAAATCCACTCTTTTAGGAATTTGAAAATCTACAATAAATTGATGTTAATTATGGTCACCCTATAGTGCTATAGAAATGCAGAGCTCCACCTCCACTCCCCCCGCACCATCTGCGGAAAAATTATCTTCCATGAAACTGGTCCCTGATGCCAAAAAGGTTGGGGACTGCTGTCCTGGGTGATAAAGGTAGACAAGACAAGAGAGGAAAAAAAAATATTGAAAGCACAAAGAGAAATGACATCTTACCTATAAGTGGAAAATAATTCAAATGACAGTGAATTTTTCATCAGAAAACAAGGAAGTGGCACAATATTTTTCAGATGCTGAAAGAAAAGAATGGTCAACCCAGAATTTTATATCTAGCAAAAATATCCTTCATTAGTGAAGGAAAAATTAAGACATTCTTAGATAAAGGAAAACTAAAAGAATGTGTTGCCAGCTGATAACTAAAAGAAAAATGGCTCACAGGGATTCTCTAAACAGAAAGGAAATGATAAAAGAAGGAATCTTGGAATATCAGGAAGGAAGAAAGAACAATGGAAAGGGAAAAAATATGGATAAATACAATAGACTTTCCCTCTCGAGTTTTCTAAATTATGTTTGAAGCAAAACTTACAACACTACCTAAAGTGGTTCTCAAAGTATATAGACAATTATATTGGAAATGGGAGAGGGTAATGTGGATACCGGAAGACTGTGATAAGGTAATACTTTAGAGCAACCACTAAAAAAAACTCTATAAGGAGACATACCCAAAAACACTTTGGATAAATCAAAACTATATTCTAAAAAATATACTCAAGTAACTCACTTGAAGGCAGGAAAAAGAAAACATAGAAACAAAAAACAAACAGAAAACAAAAACTATAATGGCTGACCTTAAGTAAGCCCTAATATAGCTATAATTACATATAATTGGGGAAACAGTCTCAAAACATTAATTAAAAGACAGAGACTAGAAGAGAAAAAATCATATGCCATATGCAGTCTACAAGAAACTCACTTCAAATACAATGATAAAGGTAGGCTGAAAGCAAAAGAATAAAAAATATATCACACAAATATTAATCAAAAGAAAGGAAGGGCTGGGTGTGGTGGCTCACACCTGCAATGCCAACACTTTTGGAGGCCAAGGTGGGAGGACCACTTGAGGCCAGGAGTTTGAGGCCAGCCTGGGCAATATAGCAAGACGTCATCTCTACATAAGAATTTTAAAAAATTAGCCAGGTGTGGTGGTGCACACCTGTAGTCCCAGCTACTCGGAAGGCCAAGGTGAGAGGATTGCTTGAGCTCAGGAGTTCAAAGTTGTAGTGAGCTACAATTGAGCCACTGTACTCCAGCTTGGGCAACACAGCAAGACCCTGTTTCTTAAAAAAAATAAATAAATAATGCAAGCAAGCAGGCATGGCCATATTAATGTCAGATAAAGTAGACTTTGGGGCAAAGAAAATTATCAGGGACAGAGAAGGAACATTACATAATGATAAAAAGGACAATCCACCAAAAAGACAGCATCATTATTATGTATATACCAAATAATAGAACTGCAAAACATTTGAAGCAAAAATTTACAGAACTGAAGGGAGACATAGAAAATTCCACAAATACAGCTGGAGATTTCAACACCACTCTTTCAACAATCAACAGAATAACCTGACAGAAAGTCAACAAGGATACATAAGAACTCAGCACCATCAAGCAACAGAATTTTATCGACATTTATAGACCATTCCACCCAACAACAGCAGAATACACATTCTTTTCAAGTACCCACAAAACATATACCAAGTTAGACTACCATATCGTGGACCATAAACAAACCTCAACATGTTTAAAAGACCATAATGAGATACCACTGCACACCTATTAGAATGGCTAAAACAAAAAATAAGAGACCATATTAAATGCGGGTGAGGATGCAAAGAAACTAAATCTCTCATAGATTTGTGACAGGAATGTAAAATGATACAACTACTCTGGCAAACAGTCTGTTAGTTTCTTAAAAAACGAAAACATACCATAAAACCCAATAATTGCATTCCTGGGCAATTTATTCTAGAGAAATGAAACTCGCGTTCCCACAAAAACCTGCATACAATTGCTCACAGCAGCAGCTTTATTTGTAATAGCACCTAACTGAAAACAAGACGTTCTTCAATAGGTGAATGGTTACACAACAGTGGTAGAGCCACATCATGGAATACTATTCAGCAATAAAAGGAATGAAATATTGATACACACAACTTGGATGGATATCAAGAGAATTATATTGAGTGAAAACAAGACAATCTCAAAAAGTTCATGTACTGTAAGATTCTATTTATATTAATATATAATAATATATTAATATATCGTTTGATGTAGAAGAGATTAGTGGTTGCTATGGGTTAGGAATGGTGGGGCAGAAGAGGGTGGCTGTGACAATAAAGCAGGAGCATGAGGAAGATCTTTGTGCTGATGGGACAGTTCTGTGTCTCGATTGTAATGTTAGGGATAAAATGACATAGAACTATGCACACAGATCATACCAGTGTCATTTTACCGGTTTTGATTTTCAACTATTAGCTATTTGAGATGTAAGCGTTGGGGGAAACTTAGTGAAGGGGACACAGACCTCCCTGTACTATCACTGCAAGTTAAAAACACACACATATCTAAACGGCCGAACAGTGTGTGTGTTTTTTAATCCCTCTACTTCCTGTTAGAAAGGTAGTAATATGAACCACATGACTTCATCCTCTGGACACTATTACTGGACCGGGAGGGAAGGGATAAGAACCAACCTACAAGTGGGACTGAGCCAATTAGGCTGTCTTCAGCATTGGAACTGAAAGACAGAGACTGGCCATCCATGAAGGGCTCCACAGCTGACAAGTCCAGTGATAATGGGATCAAAACTGGTTCCCAGCAAGTCCAAGCAAGTTGAAGTCTTGAGGCAAGAAGCAAAAACTGTGACATCCCTTGTCTGTAAGAATGCCCACTGAGAGAATATTCCCCTTTAGAGCTACTTTGGTGAATGGATGGGTTTCTGCTACTTGCAACCATCAATCTTGACTAAAATATATGCTTGAAAAGGAGATATGGTAACAAAGACTGGTCTGCATTATCATTTGCTATGGCCCTGTCCTTACACTCCTAAAATTTAAGGCAGCTGTCATCTAAGCAACCTAATCCTCATCTCATTTCATCTGGCCCCTCTGATTCAGTGAGACTAGAAGTGAGAGGGAGGGAGAGTGTAACAGGTCTCTACTAAGGGATAGTAATGAGATGTGCCCAGGTGTACCGGACACTCCAAGCTGTCTACCAGAAGTATGGCTCCACCCAGAGGGTTCCAATGCCCAGAATTTATGGGTTGGAAGGAAGGTCCTCTTAAAGACAAGTTCACAAATCTGGAGGTTGGACTTCATTCATTCATCTCTAAGTCTTTCTTAATTTATTGGAGGGGGGGTGGTGGAAGTATGGGATGTGCAAAGGGACACTGATCTCTCAGGATCAAGGGTGGGGGACCCCACCTCCTGACTCAGGCCCAGCCAAGAGCCCCACCTTAGCAGCATCATTCACTCTTGGCCTGGTGCGAAGTAAACTGAAAGGGGTCACATGTAGGCCAAGGCACCCTCTCCTCACCTCCTGGGCTAATCTCCACTTCCAGTCTCCCATCACAGAATCCCAGAACAGCGCAGAGTAGAACAGACCCTGATATCAGGCTGCGTAGGTTCCAGTCCTGCTTCTGCCACTTCCTGCTGTGTGACTCCTCTGTGCCTCAGTTTCCTCACCTGTAAAAAGGGAATTACAGTACCCACCTCATACCACCAGGCATCAGTGAGATGATCACTAGCAAATCTTAGCTATATTTTCTGTGCCTACTTCATGGGGTAGTTACCACAATACACATGAGAAGTCAACTGAAAACAAGGTGAAGCAATCCAAAGGTAGTTTTTGGCTTTTTTAATTGTTTGTGCTAATGGTAAGAACAGAACTGCTATAAGGGTTCAGCTCTATAACCCCATCCAGCCCAAGATTGTCCTAGTGCTGGGACCAAAGAGCAGACAGAGGGTCTTCCTCCTTCAGTGACCTCTTCTCAAAGCCCAAGGACATCTTCCATAAGGCCATCAACATGCATCTGTCATCCAAGAATTTAAGGCCTTCTTGATCCTTCTACATTTTCCACCAATGGTATCACCTTCTGAGGTTATAGACTCCAGGTCTGCTATGACATAGGTAAAGCTTCCTTTTTTATTTTAAGAAGTGTGGTTTGAGAAGGGAGTTGAAGAACATGACTCGATAAACTTCGACCACTTCCCCCATTCGCCTGTTCCTCAAGCTGTAGAACCACCAATGCTCTCGTAGCTCCCCTTTCTCCACAGTTCTGGAGTTCTTCGAGGTGTATAGCCCAAGCCTTAGGAAGTCATCCACAGGAGGTGCACTAGGATTCACCACAAAGGCTGGTCAACTTGTTAGTTTCTCTTTGGCCCCAGCATGCACCTGGCCAGCATCTATCAGGAGCAGCCCCTCCAGTGTTGTCTAGGCTGCTTTCCTAAGTCAGGAATGGGTTGTTTAGGACCTTTTGTCTGTCCTAAATGATTCCTAAAAGCTCCACATAGCCTCATACAGCCTTACTGTCCTCTGATCTTTTGACATGTTATGATCCTATCTGTAAAGCTATCAAACCCCTGAATCCTGGATGCCTCTTTCAAATTTCATACCTTCTTCAAATTTATGAAATAGGTCCTGAATTCAGAAGTTTCAGAAAGTTACCTACCAGCTAATGCAAAAATATAGCCTAATTCTATGTGAATTACTGCTGAGACCAGCTCATCAGGTCAGGGAGGGAAGGTATGGTGTAAAGATCCCCCTCTACTCCTATCACACAGCCTTCTACCTGCAGCACTCTGACCAGCCTCATCTGAGATTCCTGCACACTGTGCACTTCCTCCTGGCTACCACTGACTGGACTAAACACAAGAGGCCTCGTGTAGATACACACTGCAATGTGGGTCAGGATCCTGGACCACAATTTGAGCCATGTTGTGGGCCCTCCGCCTATAGAAAAGGACACTAAGCAGATCACACTTAGGTTGCCCTGTGCATCACCTTGACTAGAAACATTCTAAGTATAGAAGGGAAGGGAGCCTGCTCTGGAGGATAAGTTCTAAGATAAATCTAAAACTACCCTTGCACACAAGTGTTGTCAAGAGTTAATGAGAAAGCTCAGAGCTCCATCTTCAGTGACCACTTCTCCAGAGATTACCACCCACAGGGCTTAGGCTGGTAGCAATAGCCCTGCATGGTAGAGTCACTGCCAATAATCTTCCCACTTCTAAGCAGAAGGACAAAAAGTCTCAGAAACAAAAACAGTGAACCATGAACTTTGTCATTCTGATGCCCTAAGCTTCCTGCAAAGACCAAGATACTACATAGCTTGTTTTCCCAACTTCGCCTCCAGGCACTGGAGAAAGGATATCAGGGATTGAGCTTTCTTTCCTCTGACTTGGCAAATTCTTCTCATCTCCAGCAGAATCACCAGTTCCTTAGGTGCCAGATGCAGACTCAAGCCCAACTTGTTTTCACCACAGGGCTTACTGGCACTTCCTTTAAGCCACTTCCTTTGCTGTTCCATTCTTCTTCAGCCTATCTGGACCTGAAAACTCTCTGGATGTAGGAACTGCCCAAAGCATGCTAAAACAGAGAAAGGGACCAGCTTTCATCTCCTGGCAACCACGGCTTCCCACACCTGCAGTAAGCCAAAGGGGCTGAAAGATGACAGCCCAGTTCTCTTTGCCTTCATTATAAAACGCAAAAATCATGAAGTTCCCAAGTCTCAGCAGGCTACTCAGTACCTGATGTGGTTTCTGATGGGGAGTTGCATGGGGAACACTTTCCCATGGCTGCTCAGTGAAGGCAACACTGATATCTAAAACGATCCCTTTTGGCTCTGAACTGCCAGCCAGCAAGCCAGGATGAGCTCAGTCCTTAGCAAGGGCTCTCAAACCTACTCCTGCAGCCCCGGACCACGTGGACGTCTCTTCTCAACTGGACACAGGGGATAGCACAGACCTCCTAAAGGAAACTCCTTCATTAAATGCAGCACTCAGTCCAACACTGACACTAGCGTCAAACCTCAGCTTGAGCAGGGGAGGACGTGTACTCTGATCCGTGCACAGCCAGGTCTGCTGGGGAGGCTGGGGATTCTGGAGCTGGACTTGCAGATCCTAGAGGACGGTGCTTCCCTTGCTGGCGCCATGTCACCTAACCTCACGGTTCCTCTGAAGACCCAAAGGCCCAACCCTGAAGAAAGTTGGCAGAGAGGCAAAAATGACTGTCTTAAAGAGGTCTTCAGACACATGGACAGCTCAGCAGGACCACGCATGTGTCCAGGGCCCACCGTGAGGCAGACATCACCAACATGGTAAGGAGGACATATCACACGGCATCTTCAGGGTGCTGGGGGCAGGCGCTGTGGCAGGAGAGGTAGTGAACAAGGGTCAAAGCTTTGCCAGGTTACTACATCTGGACCCTCTAATCCCATCCATCATCCCACTCCTGAGAATTTATTCCAAAGAAGTAACTCTCAACAGGGAAGAAACGTGATACAAAAGGACATGTGTTCTAGCTGCCAAGTGGTTAACAACGTAAACTCTAGGGTCAGAGACTCATCTTACCACTTTAGGGCAAGACTTACGCTCTCTGAGCCTCCTGTAAGATGCAGATGACAGCACCTACTTCCCAGGGTCATTGTGAGGATTAAATGACATAATCCACATAAAACATCTCAGTATAGTATTCGTTCAACTATAAAGGTCAGCTCTTATTACATATGAGGACAGGAAGGGAATGCACAGAAAAGAAAATAGTGAGTTATTAAGTGCTACAGAACTGAAGGGAAGATTTCCACGACTGTTCTGACAGTAACATTTTTTAGGTCTTAGACACATAGGGGTGTGGAGGATGTCATCAATTGTTGAGCCCTGCAGCTTATGAAAATGGAAGCCCAGTAGAGAGGGTATGGCTTTTTTCACCAAGGGTTTCCCCGCTTTTCTAGATTTCACCCTTAGGAAACTCCTAAGAGGTCTCTGAAAATGCAGTAAAGGAGGGAAGATGGAAGGCACACAGGGGAGAAATGAGGAAGGGTTTGACAATCAGAACCTCATGGGGTCTCCCTGCCCATATGTGCATAGATGATAACCCTGTTCTGATTATGACTACACCTGAGAGTGAGCCCGCTTGCTCAGGGACAGCTAGAGGTGCTGCCTGCCAGCATGACAAGAGAGCCAGGGAAGAAAAAGATCTTGTCACCACAGGCAAGGAGTCCATTTTCTGGACTCTGATGCAGGACACAACACGGTCCCTACCCTCCGCTTCTTCCTCAAAGCTTCTCAGCTGTAAGGAGTACACAATAGTCCATTCCCATAAAGGAAACACATAGTAAATAATAATCAGTGTCGGAAACAAAACAATTAATGGCTTGCACAGACCTTAAAGAAATCTAGTTGGTGTATACAACCTTTTTTCTTTTTAAATTCATTCCATCCTTACCAGGTGTGGTGGCTCATGTGTATAAACCCAGCACTTTGGGAGGCCAAGGCGGGAGGATCGCTTGAGCCCAGGAGTTCAAGACCAGCCTGGGCAATAGTGAGACCCTGTTTCTACAAAAAATTTAAAAATTAGCCAGGTGTGGTAGAGCATGCCTATAGTTCCAGCTACTCAGGAGGATGAGGCGAAAGGATCACTTGAGCCCAAGAGTCTGAGGTTGCAGTTGAGCTACGATGACACCACTGAACTCTAGCTGGGGCGACAGAGCAAGACTCTGTCTAAAAAATAAATAAATAAAATAAAATTCATTCCATCCATAAATATTGCAATATGTAACCCCAAAATAAAAAAGGGTTGTTTTTTAAAACTTAAATGTAATATCATTATCACAAGTAATAAGGTTAACAATTTCTTAATATCAACAACTATCCAGTGTTCAAACTTTCAATTGCCTCAAAACTGTCAAAAAATGGATAGTTTGTTTCTCAGCATTTAAAAATTCATGTTCCCAAAAGCCTGAGAAGATTCTGAGCCCCTACTAATCCCACTACAACAATTACTGACTTAAGCTAACTTACCCACTAGACTAGATGAGAAAACCAAAGCCCACAGAGGTTAGGTGATTTGCCCAGGATCACGCAGCTGGGTGAAAACAGATGGCCTGACCCATAGTCCAGTGCTCTTTCCTCAATATATACTGTCTGGCGGTCTCGACACTGAGGTAACCATTAGAAGCTTTCTAGTCAGCAAGACTTAATCTAGTAACATCTCCTTGCCTGTTAGAAAAGAATCACCACTAGACCCCTCCTAGAAATTACACACCCATTTTATAAGATGAAAACTAATCTCATGTTAACCGCATCAGGTAGAAAGAAGGCCAGACCTTGGTCTTTACTCTATGCTTCAAGTTAGCCATGGAAAGGGAGGATTCTCTAATTACCTCTATTATCTCCTCAACACTAACCAGCTCCCCAGGCCACAGCAAGCCCAGGAAGACCATCTGACATAGGAGGAAGTTATCCCGAAGCAGAGGTCTGTGGTCTAGTTGTGCATCAACATGGCATCAGCAAAGGTGAAGACAGCCTAAAAAACAGGCCCACATGGTTTTATAGGTCACTTCCACCAAACCATCAACGAACTGATCATTTCTGTACTATATAATTGTTTTACAGTATGAGAAAAAAAATAAACCACTTCCCATCTCATTCTACAAGGATTGAATCACCAATTTTACACACCTGAGCAAGTAAAGCACACATACACAAAAGTTGGAGGGTGAAGAAGAAAACTAAAGGCCAATCTGACTAATAAACAAAAAGGCCAAAGAGCAAATATTAATAGAAGGAATAGACATGCTTTTCCTTTGTAATACTTGGCTTCTTTCGTTTTTCACTTTGCTTTCTTTTGATAGGGTCTTATTTCCTTTGTATGTACAATAAAAATAAATTAGGGGATGTACAAAAAAGAATAGGACACACATTACTTATGAAAGTAATTCATCATTTTAACCAAAAGAAAATGTTTACACTTGTTCATCTGATTTTAGAAGGGCAATGGACAAAATTCAAAACCTATTATTTATCAAGAGAAAGGAAAAGAATAAAGATGATCTTAGCAAACTAGAAGAATTGACACTTGAGGATCTGCATTATCAAACAATAACATAAGGCATAGGAATAGACAGATGCAGGCTACAGAATGGGCCCAGGTGTGCACAGTAATTTGGGATGTGAGAGTAGTGGATTTCAATGGACTGATCCCTACCTCACTTAGTATGCAAAAGTAAGTTACAAGAGCACTAAGGAACTAAAGGAAACAAAGAAAAGCATTATAAGAAAACACAAAGACAGAGTTTCAATATGGGATGACAGAAAAGTTCCTAGAGATAGACAGTGGGGATGGTTGTACAACGACGTGAATGTGCTCAATGTTACTGAACTGTGTGCTTGAACATGGTTAAAATGGTAAATTGTATGTTATGTATATTTTACCACAATTAAATTTTTTTTTTTTTTTTTGAGACAGAGTCTTGCTCTGTCACCCTGGCTGGAGTGCAGTGGCGTCATCGTAGCTCACTGCAACCTCAAACTCCTGAGCTCAAGTAATCCTCCTGTCTCAGCCTCCTGAGTAGCTGTGTCTACAGGCATGTGCCACCACGCCCAGCTAATTTTTCTACTTTTAGTAGAGACAAAGTCTCGCTTTTGCTCAGGCTGGTCTTGAACTGAACTCAAACAATCCTCCCGCCTTGGCCTCCCAGAGTGCTAGGATTACAAGCATGAGCCATCATGCCAGGTCCACAATTAAAATTATAGAGAAAAGATTATATTCTTGTGGTAGCACTCCACACACTCCAAGGGTAGCACCCTTGGAGCCACAAAGGGAAATATTTGAAGATTTTACTATATAAAAATTGTAAATGTCTGTATGATAAAAGATCCAGAAATAAAAGTTAAAAGACATCTACTTATATAACTTCATCAGAATAAAATATATTGAAACCAAAACAAAAAAAGTTGGCCAAGCACTCAATGCTTCAATAAAAAGAAAAAAAGAAGACAAGTCACTGACTGCAGTAAAGTATATGCAACTTATACAACAAATAAAGGATTAACATCTGAATATATAAAGCTGTTATAAATCAAATAAAGAATACGACAAGCAATTCATAAAAGACTTAATCTCGTAAGTAATCAGGAAAATACACATTTAAAACACACTTTCATTTTTCACCCATCAGACTGATAAAATTCAACAACTGATTTCCACAACAGAGAAAGGTAAAAGAAAACAGATATTCTCATCACTGTGGCTAGAACTGTAAATTAGCAAACTTTTTGAAGGGCAATTAGCAGCCAGCCAGCTATTAGATGCACATATCCTCCACTTATTGGTCTTTAGCCAAGAGAAATGCTCCCAGAGGTACAAAAACGTCAACACCAAGGGTGTTCACCACAGCATTATTTACAACATCAAAAAACAAAACATAACTCAACTATCTACCTAACAGGAAGTGTTAGTGAAATACACATTCCCACATCCACCCAGTGAAAGACTAGCCAGCCTCTGAAGCGATAGATAGGGTCTCTATGTAACTGACAGGGAAATATGCCACAACAAGACTTATAAACAAAGGATAGTTACAATACAGTCCATACTCTGTGATACCATTTTTTGCCCAAAATAAAATAATGTACTTTGTATAGGAACACAAATCTGGTAGAATCCATATCAAGTTATTAACAGCAAATATCATCTCTGGGAGTAGCATCATGGGAAATTTTCACTTCCTAAATTATATTATTTCTATGTTTGAATTATTTAAAATCAGCATGATCGCTTTTGTAATTGAAAAAAACAAGGAATAAAATAAAAAAATAAAAATACTTCCACTCCTTTGTAAAAAGGGGTAGCTATGATCCCAATGAATGTTAGGTGCCGATCTCCGTGTAGTATTTTCCCCTAAGAGGAAAGACGAAGAGACAGAAGAGTTTCTGGAATGGCTCACGAACTGTCACCTGCCAGTAGTACCTAGAACCCCAGTTCCCAGGTGGGCTGGCGTGGTGATAAAGACAGGGCCAGGCCTTCAGCTACGCAGCCTGTGTAGCACACTGCCAACACACGGAAAGGTCTTGGCTGAACAACGGATATTGAGGGCAAGTACACTCAATACTGGACTCAAGGCCGGGCACAGTGGCTCATGCCTGTAATCCCAGCACTCTGGGAGGCTGAGGCGGGAGGACTGCTTGAGATCAGGAGTTCAAGAGCAGCCTGAGCAAGACCAAGACCCCGTCTCTACCAAAAATAGAAAAATTAGCAGGGCATGGTGGTTCACACTTTAGTCCCAGCTACTGGGGAGGCTGAGGCAAGAGGATCACTTGAGCCCAGGAGTTTAAGGTTGCAGTGAGCTATGATGATGCCACTGTACTTCTAGCCGGGGTGGCAGAGCAAGACTGTCTCAAAAAATAAAAATTAAAAAAATAACATACTGGACTCAAACTTATTTTATTTTTTTGCTTAATGCCTGATCTTTGGGTGGCTCCTCAGAGCACCAGTTTAACCTAGAAACATTTTACTTGCAAAGGTCACAATGGAAACCAGATCAGCTAAGAGGAATTAATGGTGACTTTCTGGATAAGAGCTATAAAAACCTAGCTGTGCCCTAAAAAGACAGCTGCGAACACTAAGATCTGGGAAGGCACAGTGCTATAAAGCCATTAGTCAAAGAAAGAATATTAGCCACCTAGCCTCTACTCACAACCTCTAAATGATGAAACCAAAAAAGAGAGGGAAAAAGGAAAAGAGAGAGAAAGTAAACAAAAACATTAAATACCAAGCACTGCTACACACTTGAACATATTTACATATTTAATCCTCACAACATCCAGGGAGTGTTACAGAAGAGGAGACTCAGAGAGGCCTGATTTGTTCAAAGTTAAAAAGCTACAAACCCCAGAGTCCAGATTTGAATCCGTTTTGCCTACAAGTCCAGTGCATTGGCAGCTCCTCCAGTTAGCGGGTCGCCTGGCCCCAAACTTCTCATTATTGGAGCCCGTGTCCTCAATGTTTCCAGGCAGACTCACCTGTGAGCTGGAGGGCAGCACCTGGGAGGTGAGCTCCTCAGACGGGGCTGCTCCTGAGCCCATGGGGCTCAGCGTGGTGATTCTGCTCGGCTGGCCACGGAGTGTCAGAGTAATAGTGGTAGGGACCTTCAAGCCTGAGAGAGACAAAGAGAGGCAGTGTTTTGGGGTCACAGCCTCTACTTTCTGCTGAGGCTTTCCTTTCCTGGAGAGTTTCTTCCCCACATAACACACCCCCTCAGCCTCCTCCCCAGCTGGGCCATCTATGCCCTCTCAATCTGAAAGGCAATAGGAAACAGCCTGTGTTCTCTCGACCTCTCTGGGGCATAGGGTCCACACAGCTGAATCCAGGGTCAATGTCAGGACCCTGTGTGGTTGGGTTCAACATCATACCTTGCCCATGTGAGATGGGAAGGTCCTGGGGGAAGATCCCAGATCTGGGAGTCCCCACAGTTCTCATGAGAGACTCACCTGATGCTTGGTTAGAGATCTGAGCCAGGCCAGGGAGGCTGCTTGCCAACTTAGCGAGGCCCCCATTGGTCAGCAGCTGGTGGATGGCTGTGGGCTTCCCACCAGGAGTGGCACCCAAGGAGGAGAGAGTGGTGGCCACAGGAATGGTACGGACAATGGTGCTGGTGCCCGTGGTGATGGCACCCAGGCTCTGCATGGGGGTGGGCAACTTCACACTGGTGGCCTGTGGGACACACAAGCCCAGGTGATCAGAAGCTGTCGCCCAACAGCAACATTCGAGTTTGGAGGGCCCACAGCATAATATTAAAGGCTAACATGTATTGAGTGCCTACTACATGCAAAGTATTCTTCCAGGCATTTTGCATACATTATCTTATTTAATCCATGAGGGAAATACTATTATTACTTCATTTTACAGACAGGGAAACAGAGAGGTCAAGAAACTTGCCCAAGGTCACAAAGTAAGTGAGAGGACCTTAACCTTTGGCAGCTCCTGGCTATGTATTAATAGTTAGAAGCCTATGTGTCCTTGACCCACTTACTCCAGACCCAGTATCCCTGCCAAAACCAACTAAATGAGAAGGCCCCACACCTGCCCAGCCCAGTGGATAGCAGTTGTGCACCTGTGGGACTGGCCCTGGGGAAGGATTAGCTGGGAGGCCAGAACTCTTGCTGCTGATATCCTGCAAGCTGAAGCTGAGGCCTTGGAGGAGGCTGCTGGCTGATGTGGCCCCTAGGAGAGGACATAACAGGCATTGGCACAAGCTCAATCACTTGCAAGTATCCCAAGAACAGCCACACTCACCCACCCTCACTACCAACTAAAACACCAATGCTCCTGCCCTTGGACATTCCCCTGCCCTCAGAAAGATGCCAGGAAGGTCTCTTGAGGCAGGCATGCACGCACTGGATGCCACATGAAGAAAGGTACTATGCCAGACACTGCCTTAGATTCACTCTGCACATCCCAACCTGCTCCAAACCACCAGTCCTACATTTTGGACAGTTTCGGGAAATCTAAATTCCCTTTCTTTCCAGGGAAGAAAGACTTTAAGCTGGAAGAATGCCAAATACCTAACTTACGCTTCACCTTACACAGTCCAATGGCCTCAAAGCAAAGAGGAAGGCCCTCTCAAAGGAGAGGGGTATCCGCAGTGCCTCAGCCCCACTGAGCTCAGGCAACTAGCCTTTCAGTGTAGGGTGGAGGGTTGGAGAAAGCATAGGCAGAAAAATGTCTCGTACTGCTAATGCCCAGGATAGCACCATTTCCAGTTTTATTCGGTTATATGTCTTTAAACACCAAAATGAAACACAATACAGTTGGCCCTGTGATATCTGTGGGCTTCACATCCACAGATTCAACCAACCACACACAGAAACCTGTAGCTATGGAACCGGTAGATACAAAAGGCCAACTATATGATGCCATTTTATATAAGGGACTTGAGCAGCTATGTATTTTGGTATTGGTGGGTGGTCCTAGAACCAATACCCTGTGGATACAGAGGGAAGACTGTACATACATCTATCAGCTATTTCCCTTCCCTTCCTTTCCCTGCAGACTGGCATGTTTGCTCACTATAAAGGCCAAGGAATCCCCTCAGCCAAGCTAGTTTCAGCTTCACATCAAGCCTCTATGACTACTCTAAGACCCAGAGGCACATCCTTTAGCTCCAGGGATGCTTTCCTAGGATCCCCCTCCAGCACGAGAAAAGACTCTGTTGGGAAAGGAGAAAGCTGGGCTACAAGATACCTGGGAGGGAGTTACCAGGAGAGGTGGCCACCAAGCGGCTCTGGATTGTGTGCAAAGCACTGGGCGCAGTGCTGCTTGCCACCACTGAAGGGGATGGGCTGGCTGAGACTCCACCTTCAGAAGCACTTGACCTGGAGACATAGAAAGGAGCACCATCATCCAAAGGTCAGAGGGCAGCAGAGCCTAGCAATACAGGGAAGGTCCAGAGTGGGGCCCAGCAAGGCTTTCAGCAGTGAACACAAGGCTAGAACCTTCAGTTTCTTTGTCCTACCTTCTGAACCCGGCCTCTAGTCCTTCTACAAGTCAGGCCTAAAGTAAAGATCTCAGGTCTTAGAGTAAAAGCCAGGAAACACTATAATCTTTAAGTAAAAATGAACTCTGAGTTGACCCAAAAGACAAAGATTCCAATCAGAAAGAAGTCACATTCCCATAAGTGAAAGAATCCAGAATCCATCATTTTCCCGAAGCATTACATGATTCAGAAAAGGGATAAAGAGAAAAAGAAAACAGAGGAAGATCAAGAAATAGACTCACCTGGCTGTGGTAAGAAGTCCTGTGAGCTCCTTGGCCGCGGCAGAAGCCTGTCCCAGTGTCATGGTGATGGGTTTCCCACCCACAGCTGCAAGAGAGAAAACCCCAAGGCCACTGGTTAGTCCTCTTTGGCCCCTACCTTTCTAGGTTCCACAACTCAGGCTAAATACAAGATATTATGGACAAAAACTGGAAGATTAAAAAAGAACCATGTTAGAGTAAGGGGAGCTGGAGTTATTTTTTCCTTCTATTTTCTAAACTTTCTGGAATATTTTATTATCTTTAATTGAACCCTCCCTCAAAAAAGAATAAAATATATGATGCTTTGAATGACCCGACAGTTTCCTCTCATATTCTGCCTCGTTCAGGTGAGGGCACTGCCCACTTTCCCTGTGTGTGTGAGCTTGTGCCTTCTTTGCTTAAGGCACCTCTCACAGTGAGGCAGAGGCTGAGCCGTGGGCTGGTAGCCACCAAGGGGGCAACGTTATGTACCCTGGGAGAGCTCGGTCAGTTCTTATTTGAACATGCCAAGAGAACTCACCTTCTGGAGCTCCTCCTTGGGAAGGAGCACAAGGCCCTCCAGCTGTTTCCCCTTGGGAGATAAGGGACACCTTGATCTTCGGTCGCTTGGAGGTCTTACTGCCAGGAAGAGGACTTGAGGGATGATGCCGCTTCAGCTGGACCCTAAGATCCTCTTTCTCTGCTTCCTCTGTTGGTTCCGATGAAATGGGAACTAAGAGATGAAGCTGAGGTGAGATCCTCCACGACCCAAAACAGCCCAATAGACACTGCCAGTCAACTAGCACTGGCACGGCCATGTATGAAAACACATGAAAAAATACCCCACGTACAGGGCCATACTTCAAAGGAGACCACCCATGCTTTAAGCCCACCCCCCTCAGGCCCCACCCACAGTGGACCTAACCATGCCTTCTCCAAACACGGCTCTATGCCCATCCCTCACCCTGCCCTGGAGTTGGAAGGAAAGGGGCCCTGAGGTGGTAGGAATAAAAAGACAAAAGTGCCCCTGACCCTGCCTAGCAAAGGCTAACAACAATAACAAAAACAGAGGACTCACCACAGTGGATCTAAACAGTCCTTCCCAGACTCAAAGAAAGTGATCATTTTCCTGTTTTAAGTCCTACCCACATCACCACAAAGCTGGGGGCATTAAACATTCTATGAAGAACCCATGGAGAAGCAGCTCATCTAGTCCTCTCTAAAACAGAGAGTTTTTCTCAAGGCTCTCAAAGTCCCACCCTGCCCTAAAAGCCCAAGGTTGAAGGTCCACTTGCCAAATGGAGGCAATGACAAGGACTACCACCAGGACTGAAAGCCGGCTTTTAGTAATTACCAGGTGAGGGAGCACCTTTGCCCAGGTAACAGGGCAACAGTGGCCCATGTCACAACCTAGTCCCCAGGTTGTACCAGTGCAGAGAAAAGCCATCTGTTCACATGTGGGCTTCCCCCTCCACTGAATCAAGTAGACTCATCACGCATACAGCCAAGCCTTTGGGACTCTTAAGTTATCCTTCAGACTCCCTCATAGATTCCCTCCTCTTTAAGCCCACAAGTCCACAAGTCTTTGTAGCACAGGCAAGCAGGAGAGGGGATGGGGAGGAAGGCAGCAGCCACGCGAGGATGTAGGAGGGGTCCTGGCATGGGGCTACAGTTAGAGCATAGCCGGCTAGATGGATTGCTTAGGGGAGAAATGCACAGGCTAAAATCAAAGTAGGAAGATGGTGGAAGGGAAAGGAGTTACAGGATTTATGCTGATAAGTGGCTGGTGGGCTTGCGGCTGCCAGGATGAAAAAGGAAAACAGGCAGGGAGAAAAACACAAAAGGAAATGCAGGCTCACAGGCAATAAGCCACAGACGCACAAAGGAGAAGCAGAGCCAAGAACCACACCAAGACAACACAAGAAAAACACCATGAGAAGCAAACAAAGAATGAAGAAGGAGCAAAGACTACAGAGTAAGCAAAAAGAGACAGCATGAAAACAAAAATCAGAAGATAGAAAAAGGCAGGAAGAAAAGAATAGGAGGAAACCAAACTGTGACAGATGAGAAGCAGATATGGGACAGAAATAAGAGGGAGGTGGAGAAAAGCAGAACGCAGAGGACGAACAGGTGAGAGAAAGAACAATACTCACCAAAGAGACAGGAGGAGGTGCCGGGAGGAAGAGCTTTCCTCACCAGCATGTTTTGTTTCAGAAAAGCAGCAAACTGTGCTGGAATGAATCAGAAAGAATTACAGAAATCATAGCCAGCCAGAGAAAGGAGAAAAAGAGAGGAAATAAGAAATAGATGAAAAAGGTGTGTAGAAAATGGTCAACGGAGGCTCTTTCTAAAGTTACTGCATGGGAATCTCACTCTGCCAGGCAGCAGCTCTACAGAATCACCTATAGACTGAGGATGATAATCTGGACCTGCCTCACGGGGCTGTGGCCAAGACTCAACAAACTATAGCAAGTCGAGTGCCAAGAAGAAGGCGTGGCACGTAGCAAGGGCTCCATTTATGTTAGCTGCTCTCGTTCCCTGCTTGCCCATCAGCTCTGCTAATGCCAGGGTTCTAAGGCAGCTGCTCTCCCCCTGTGGGTCCTGTTTCAAACGCAGCTCACCAATCAGCCTTCTAGAACTCCTTACATTCTCAATTAACCACTCTACAGAAGCATAGCAGACCACTGGCTCTGTCTTCATTAAAAGCCTAAGGGCATACTGCCCACACAGAGCTTGGCTCTGGCCACTACTCAAGAAGATCCATGACCACAGAATCCATGCAGACCCTAGAGGCCTGGCCTCTTTTTTTTGCCTTCACCCATCCACTCACACTTCTGCTCACAAGAGACCCAGGTTTAAGTTCTTACTCTTTGGCTCCACTAAAACAAACACAGGGGAAGTGAGCAGATCAGCCTCCTATCTCCTCTGCATCTCTCTGCTCAACAGCCAACTATGGCTGTTGCCTCTTCCCAGGCACTCCCATGCTCCTCAGAACCTCAGATGACACATGCTCCTAGATGCATCGTCAAACACTGATGCCCAAGAGGCCTTACCTCAAGGCCACCTAAGTGCATCAAAGTGAGGGCAGAGCTACCGTTTCTTCTTCCCCTACCCACTGAACCCTCCCTTTTCTATAGCTCCTTACACAGCACTCGCAGCTCTCTAAACTTTAATTTCAATCATACAAATAATTCCCAGCCTTATCTGAAACCTATCTGCAGAGAACCCTGATAAACTTTGCTGAAGGTCTCAATGTGCAAATCTTACCTCTTTAAGGACAAAACAAAGAAAGGGCATGATGCCAGCTGAGTTGCCCTAGAATCTGATGAATAAAACCAATCATCCAGTACACATGATTGGAGAACTCCCTAACTGCAGGAGTGGCTTAGTGAGGCTTGGAACAAAAGACAATATAGCTTCTCCAATTAGTAGGTCGAAAAAAGTTTAGGCCAATACATGTGTTCACAAAGCCTAACTTCCCCAGAACACCAAGACAAAGCTCTAACTAGTGACCACAAAACCCCACTAATGCATAGCCCTTAGTATTCATTTTAATCTAATTTTGCCTAGACAGATATGTAGGAAAGCGGTGCCTCTCACATTCCCCTGGAAAAATACGCAGATGCTAATACTTTCTAACTGTCATATGACATTAACTGCAGAAGACAGAACCCAAGAGGGATCACTAGCCAGGTGCCTATACCTTGGGCTTGTTTGTGGGTCAGCACAGCTTCTGTCCGCTGTACATGTCTCTTTAGCAGCTGAGAGCTCCCAATCTGACTGGACTTCTGGGCAGAGGTCACTGTGGTCACTTTAGTCTTGGGACTCGAGGTAGGGCTGCTGGACACACTGGAGAGATCCTGAGTAGGGTAAGAAGGCCAAGAGATAGCCAGTGCCATGAGAATCTGACTCAGTCAAGCACGCCCCCCTGGAACTCCCCTCGTAGGAACTTATAGGCCTACAGCACTGACAAGGCGGACAAGCATCCCCAGGAAGCTAAGGAACCAACTCTGCAGTCCTGACTCCTCAGCAAAATGCTCCCTCTCCCTGCCTCCCTCCCTGCTTGCTCTACCTCTGAGCCCGAGGGTGAGGCAGGCAGCTTGGCGGCTGGGGAGGCAGGTCGACTGCCCCGTTCAGGGACTTCAAAGGCCAGGTCTCTGCGGGCTGCATCACGGGGCTTCTTCTTCTTCTCAGCATCCTGATCCCGAGGCTCCGAGCCCACATGACCCTCAGCGCGAGTGAGCACTCCCGTGAGAAAGTCTACAATTTCATCCTAGTGTAGGGAGAGCCAAGGTCAATTAGTCCTTGTTTGGAGAACAGGAACCTCTCAGAGAGCTTCACACTACAGTCGATTCCTCCTTGGCTCTGTCATCCAGAAGATATGCCAGTCCTTCCCCACTCACACCAGGCCCGGCACAAACTCCAGGCCTCTGAGTAGCTGTGGTTTGAGAAGACCAGAAGGTGCCTCTGTGAGGGGCGCGCTGGGGTGGTCACACTCCACCACTACTGCATATACCCTTTCTCTCCTGATGCTTCACTCATATGTTCATTCACCACTCTCCTTTTCTCTTTTTCTCCCTCTCTCTTTTCCGTTTTCTTTGCTTATGATTGAAGTCTACCAAAAGCCCCAGTGGATATGCCCTCACCCCCCAGAGCCCAAGAGGGTACTACCAACAAGACCAAACCAAAAAGCTATAGAAAGGCAAGTTTAGCTGAGAAAAACATACAAAACAACTGTTTACCTGAATACATCTGTCCACCATGCTCTGAGTCAACCCTTCTGATTTCTTCTTCGCTTTGCTTATTCTAAGAGAGGAAAAGAAGGAAATGTTTACTTCTTAAACATTCCATGGCATCCTATGGAAATAAGAATAAATTTCTTTTCTGTGTTATTTTCTAGGCCCAGAAAGGAAAACTATGTTAGCCCTCAGGCAGGTAATGTAACCTCTCTCAAGCTGTTTCCACATCTGCAAAATGGGGAATCGTAACACCTCATTCATGAAGTTACAGGGATTAAACAAAAGTACATGTAAAGAAACCAAGCACGGTGCCTTGGACCGCCACTCCAGAAGTCCTATACCTAGGGCTTAATAGATTAACTCTATCCAGATTGCTAAAACCTCATCTAGAGGTCCCTCAACACAGCCCCAAACCCTGAGATTACTGGGTGCTGCTGAACTGAGTCAGTAGGAGAGGAGGAAAGGTGGTCATAGGTTAGTTCTAAAGGGATAAGAGAAAGTGAGAGAAAGTGACCATAGCCAGCTGCATTCCCCTCTCTGAAAGGTAGCATTAAAACCCTTGGCTTCCGACAGAGTCCCGGCAAAGAAAGAACCGGGGTACCATGTGACTGGACAGAGAACAGCATTATGAGCTTCCAAATTCTGACATCCCAATTTACTGATGGCTGGCCTCTGATATTGTGTTAACACTGTCATTTAATAAATGAGGACAGTGAGTCACGGAAGTTAAGCAATTTATCCAAGCTTCTTAGCAAAGGGGTCAAGAATAACTGAGGTCTCCCAATTCTCAGTGCAGTGCTCTTACACCATGCAAATGTCTCATCAGCAGCCTCATAAGCTAACTCTCAGTAACTGCATTCCAACAGCTTCCCACTCCCTCACAGCTACTCCGCACACACAATCCATTCTCCAGCAGGTAAGAATGTTTGAAATACCAAGAAAAACAATGTATTTACATGAAAACATTGCCTTGGGTTATCAAACGACTAAACATTAAATTCATAAGAAGCTGGTGAATGACAAAGGCCAAAAAGACTTCTCTAAAACATTTCTGAGTAGGAAACTAAAAGACAGCTGGGAGCAGGTACATGCTCTAAGCTCTCTAGTTAAAACACACAACTGAAATTAATCTCTAAGATTGAGAGTATTTAAAAAGGAGGCCAAATAAATGACACAACCTCTTTTTCAGTACATTTCATGAAAATGTAACTAAAGGCCCTGTAAGCCCCAGCCTTAAGAGTGGTCATCTCAATGACCCAGATTACCTTCCTAAAAACCCTTCCAAACTTTGGCTGTCTTTATCTCCAAAATACATCAAAGGATACTTAATGCAAAGAACATCCATGTTCACATTCATCCTCACTAAGGAATACAATTTTCAAAAATGGCTACCCCAGAGAAAGTATGATAAAAAGGAGTGTATTTACAAAATCTCAAAGTACCTTCTCCTCACAAAATAACCATTAATTACAAAGGGAAAAACAGTCACTTCACAGTGGAGAACCTGGCAGAACCTACTGTAACCATGTGATCAAAGTTATCAGCAGCAATGACAAAACAAATCAACATCATGTATCCTCTGACAGCATACACTGAGAAGGGTACATGCCCTCCATGGCATTCCTGCCAAAATGCATATTCTCAGTGTAATCCTAAGAAAATGTCAAAAACCTAAACTGAGGGACAGTCTACAAAATAACTGGCCAGTAGTCTTCAAAAATGTCAAGGTCATGAAAGACAAAGACAGACTGAGGAACTAAAGGAGACTGAGAGGACATGGCCACTAAATGCAACATGATCCTGGATTGGATCCTGGACCAGAAAAAGGACATTAGGAGACAAATGATCAAATTTGAGTCTGTAGGTTAGATAACAGTATCGTATCAACGTTAATTTCCTGATTTTGAGAATTTTACTTCTGTTATGTAAGATATTATTAATAACATTTGGAAAATTCAGGTGAAGGGTATATGGGAATATTTTTGTACTAGTCCTGTAACTTTTTATAAATCTGAAGCTAAAGATGAAAAAAAAAAATTTTTTTAATGCTCACTTTTAACCGAATCAGATTCATCTATTTACACTGCTAACATGACTCTCGCAGCTCTGAGGACCCTACCTACCTGAGATTATCATCAGCTCCCCCAACCACCACCAAGCTGTTCTCAGCCCGAATCTTCTCCCGGAAGTCCTCCATGGCTTCAGGGTGACACTGCAGGGAATTCTGACCAATGACAAAGAGGACTGGAGTCTTCATATCCAAGAGGGGATCATCCACATCCTAAAAGAGGTATAGGTTTCAGAATCTGCTAGTTCCTATTCATGAAGCACTGACCTGGAAACTCCACTCAGGAGAGTCAGCTGTGCAACTGCAGTCTGCCTCAACACCAGCTTGGATGAGGCATGCACACCCTCACTCCCGCTGCCAATGACCCAGCAATCAGCTTCGCCTTGTTCTTACCCCTCTGGGGCCATCCACGGTAAGCAGAGGAAACCCAAGGCAGACAATTGCAGTGACGTACTCCATCACTGACACCTGTAAATAACAGCACAGTTTGTCTCAAAGTCAAATGACTTCACTGCACATCAGCCTACCTAGAATTCTGAAGTGGTCCAGACCCACCAGCCACTGCCATCTCCTCCTCCTCTACCCTAACCTCCAGATGCATCAATCAGCCACAGCGGCAGCAGTAAGAGCATGAAACATGCTCTTAAATAAGGCGCCAACTACCTGGACAACTGGGGTCCGAGAGGACCCTAGCAGGTGGCTGAACCATAAAATGGTAGGTTCAACACCCCTGCCCTGTCAACCTCCTCCACTAGAGCCCTCTCGCTCTGTTTTTCTCCATGAATAATAAATATAATTGAGAGAACACAAATTTTGCCATTATTGTTTAAGTGAAGAAAATTTCTATTGAATTTAACATATAGCTGCCAGACATCCCAGATTTTTTGGAGTAGTCACTGACTGAGTTCCGCCATCCCTCGGAGCAAGGACTATGGGGGAGATGGCTTTCTTCCACTCATGGCCCTAGATATCACACTTGACTAGACTGTATGAAGCAGAAGAATTGGGGCCTTGGGTATGTCAGGGACACTTACACAAACTGACAAACATACAAACGTATATAAAATAAGAAAGAAAAGGTTCCTTAATGTCTTGGAAGGGAACTGATCATAAACGCAACATTAAATTTCAGAGCTATTAATTTTTGCCTGCTAGAATTACTGTTAATTTTTTAGGTGGCACTCTGGGAGGCCGAGGTGGGAGGATCATTTGAGCTCAGGAGTTTGAGACCAGCCTGACCAAGAGCAAGACCCCATCTCTACTAAAAATAGAAAGAAATCAGCTGGACAACTAAAAATATATATATAAAAAATTAGCCGGGCATGGTGGCGCGTGCCTGTAGTCCCAGCTACTCGGGAGGCTGAGGCAGGAGGATCGCTTGAGCCCAGGAGTTTGAGGTTGCTGTGAGCTAGGCTGACGCCACGGCACTCTAGCCCGGGCAACAGAGTGAGACTCTGTCTCAAAAAAAAAAAAAAAAAAATTTTTTTTAGATGGGAGAATGGTATGGTACTTGTGTTTGGAGGCAAAAAAAGGAATCTCTTTTTTTTCTTTTTTAAGAAATAAATGCTCTCTAAATGAATCATGTATCATTTATATAGATTCATGTTCTTATAAATGAAATGCTATGACATTTGAGACTTCCTTGAAAATAATCCGGGGGAGAGAAAAGTGAGCAGGGGTAAGATGAAACTAGCCCAGGTGAGAGCTGATCACTGGTAAAGCTGGGTGAGGGGGGGCCCATGGCGTTTATTATGCTAGTTTATTACACTATACCTGCTTTTGTTTTGCTTAATATTTTCCATAATAAAGTTAAAAAAAATAAAGTTTGTCTTCTATAATTTAAAATGCAATTATATAGGTACAGCATCTAGCACAGTGCCTGAAACAGTAAAGGACTCAACAGCTGCTATCATTAGTAGTACTCTACCCCAGGACAACCTCCAATTCCTCAGTGACCTCCAAATAAGACAGAAATTACTTACATGACAGGCCACCAAAGCTCCTGTGTTCCAGCCAATCAAGATTATGGGTTTGTGTGGGAAATGGCTGTGAATCTTTTTGGGGAGAGAAAGAAGACAATAAGATAAGGGGCCACAGATGGGAACGGAACAAGCCCAGAATGCTGGGTGTGCCACAGTGAACTGAAATAGGCGCACTCTCACCTCCAGCACTTTGCTTCTCACTGCCCCGATCATGTGCTCGAGACACTGCAGAACTCCTACCCCACTGCCATTGTTCAGCAGATGGGTGGCTACAGGGATGACCTGAAGGAAAGAAGTGGCACCCATGCCAGCAGAGGTAAGTGTCAAATCTTCTCTCAATTCTGCTTAACCTACTCTAAATACTTTCGACTTCAGAATTCCAAATAAAAGGATTAGGGGATGCTCCACATTTAAGTCATCCATTCTCATCCCAGGAGAAAGTTCCTCTTGTCCCCACATATACATACCTTGCCCAAGCAAGAGAGCTGAGATTGCCAAAAGCGGTGGCGGCGTGAGGTGGGAAACACGGAGCTGGAGGGGCCAGAGGAAGCGATGAGAATCAGAGGAGAGCCAGGGAGTTTGCTCTAAAGAGAAAGAATCCCACCCAAAAAACAGTGAGTAAGGTCGGGCATGGTGGCTCATGCCTGTAATTCTAGCACTCTGGGATTGCTTGAGTCCAAGGAGTCCAAGACTAGCCTGAACAAGAATAAGACCCTGTCTCTACAAAAAATAGAAAAAATTAGCTAGGCATAGAGTGACATATGCCTATAGTCCCAGCTACTTGGGAGGCTAAGGCAGGAGAATAGCCTGAGCCTAGGAGTTTGAGGTTGCAATGAGCTGTGATGACGCCACTGCACTTTAGCCACAGTGACAGAGCAAGACTCTACCACAAACAAAACAAGAGGTGAGAGGTGTTCTTCCATGAAATCCCAAGTATCCCAACACCCTTCTCATCCCAACCAGTACTCCTTTGCTTACAAAACTATGGTGAGCACGAAACAAGTTACTAATGAAAAAGTTAAAGAAGCCATTTATCATTCTCTTGTCAAGGTTCTGTGGCTTGAGCCTAAAAATTTCATGTGCCATAGTTAAGTCCTGAGCCATCCAACTTACTGGTTTGTTATGAGAAAGCACGCCGACAGCAGGGTCCCAGGGCCTCTTCAATAGGAGAGACAAGGCCTCAGCTCCTGCAGCCCCGGTTTTCGTGTTGGAAGACACAAGCATCCGGTCGATCAAGGTCGGGATCTACAAAGGAGGAAGAGCAAAGAGGCTTCTAGTGTGAACACAAGACCTTCCCACCACCACAATCAGCCAGGAGGTCAGAGCCTCATTATGAGCCATATGGACAAACTTCAAGTAAGCTATCAAAACTTCCTCAGGAGTAAAAGCACAAATACATGGATAGCTGAAAAGCATGCTCTCACCATGAGAGGGAAATGGGTAGTCCTTGGGAAAGCACTCTGGTGGTATGCATCAGGGATTGAATTTATTCCTATCCCTTTTCCAAACAACTGTACTTCTGAAAACCTTCCCTAAGAAAATATATCAGACACACACACTCACATATACACACAGGTGGGGAGAGTTATGCAGACAAATTCACTGTTGATAATAAGCAAAAAGTGAAAATAACTTAAATGTGTATATATATATATACATACATATAGAAGTGGTTAAGCCAGTTATCCACCTAATTGGATATTAAGCATTACTTTCAAATATTTACAAGAATTTGTAGTAATATATGGAAGCAATTTTGCTAAACTGTTATAAGTAAAACAGAAAATATAAAAATTATCTCTCCTAAGGAAAAAAAACTATAATATGCCAAAATGTTAATAATGATCTCTGTGGAGTTATAAGTGACTTTTCCCTTTACAGATTTCTGTTTTCTCTAAATTTCCTCAATGAACATCAGCTGATTTTAAAATTTCTTTAAAAATCTTCATTTTCTTCTAGAGTACTGCCTTCAAGCTGAAGCATGTTAAAGAAACCTGTTATTGTGTCCAAAGAAATACATTTTACTCTATCTGTATGTTGTTTTATTTATTATATCCCGTTTTTTACTATCCACCAAAAATATGACCTCACAGATGTGCAAATATAGGTTTCAGACATGCTGATGCTTACACTGAGAAGAAATATCTGTGTGAATTCCACGCTACCCACAAAAGGTCAAAGTGACCTAGGGGAAAGGAAAGATTTTTAAATGTTAGAGGTAGTTTTCAGAAAAACAAAAAGGTTTTGAGAAATTGGAGAATAAAAAGTACTATGGTTTGATGCAGGTTGTAAAACTTCAAAGACACCAGGAGAAGATAAGCTGCTCCTAATTTAAAAAGACAGAGAATAAAAAGATTTCTGCCTGAGAAATTAGAGGATTATAACCATTAGACTTCCTCAGCTTAACTCGGGAAACCAATGTCTGTGCAACAATTGCTGTTACAAGGCACCAAGCTAGTAGTTCTGCAGGGGAATTTAATCCACAAGAGGTAATGAAGACAAACACACAAATAACAAAGCAGGGGGACTGATAACTGCCATGAAAGAAACAGAAGCCCCACATTGCTATGATTCAAACCATTCAACAGAGGAGGAGAAGAGAAGTTAGGCAATTTTCATCTAAAAATGCAGCATGTGAAGTGAGACAGGCTCTTCAGAACAGGTAGGACTCCAACAGAACATGAGAGAAGAGGTTTCCAATCAGAGACACCAGCAAAAGGCAAGAATATGTGGAGCTTATTCCAGGTACAGGTGGACTAAAGTCAGGGATTCAAGTAAAGAAGTTGGAGAACATAAAGCTAGTAACAAAGGATAAGACCAAACTGTAAAGATCTTCACCCTGACTGGCCATTGTTTGTAATTCACTCTGTAACTGTTAGCCACTCAGCACTGTGTGTGAGGCAGAGGATCTGATCTGCATTAACTTAAAAAGCTTTACCTGGCAGTAGAGTATGCCCATGAAACCAAAAAGCCTTGAAACTCACTTTCTGTCAACATAGAATAAATAATTAATCAGTAACTGACTTCTCTGCTTGGAGCTGGGAAGACCCAACTTCCCTCACCTTTCCAGCATTCTGCATTCACTCTCAACAGCTCAGTAAGAGGCTGGGACTGTACCTTCTCTGCCCTCTTTATAATGGATCTAATGGTGAAAGTAGCTGGCATAGGAGCACAACACCATCCACCTGCGCTTTTAACATTCAGCAAGCACTTTAAAACAATCCTGTAGTCATTTATATGCTTTGGGAAACAACCAAAGTATTTGTTATAAATCTAAACATAGTCATGGGAAAGTAAGAGTCTGATGGTAGAGGAACCACTGTGGAGAGCACAGCCCAGCATGGACAGCAGCTCAAGTCTGCGGCTCTTGCTGATTGGTGCACTTGTGAGCCTTCCACCATTCTGGCTAACCTGCACTATGACCCAGCAGCATGGCCAGGCAGCAACCAACTGTGCACACCCGTGGAGTCCCCCCAGTGTCTGTCATGCTCATAATACCTGAATGCCACCTCATTCACATGGGACATGTCCATCCAGTAACTTAAATAGGGAAGCAGTACAAACTCTTCCTTACTAGGGAAATTACCATGTCATGTTGGCCATGTTGAGTGAGGCAGAGCCACCAGAGAACTGGGACCCTGGTCGCTACCAATACTCATCCCCTAGAGTGTCTTTACCATTGTTGTACTTTTGCCATAGGTAGAATACTGTGGAGAACACTGTTGAAAATGCTTACAATACTCACAGGCCACCAACCTCTCCCAGGGTCTTGTCTTGGTCCCACTCCCCACATGTCCACCATTCACCTCCCAGGCCTAGGGTTTCTACTGTAGAGGAGAAGTACAGGGGGAAGTCTGCGACTCTCTCTCCATGTGCCTCTTTCTTAACTAAAAAATAAGCTCCATCAGAGCAGGGAGTTCTGTTCTGCTCATCCCAGTGCCTGGCACATGGCATAAAATATTAATAAATTATTACTCGAAAAAAATGTCAAGTTTCCTACCATTAATGTATCTAGTCCTGAGTTTTATTTCAGCACTATACCAGTCTTCTTTCTAACAAACTCAGCATCCTTTAAGTTAAAAATAGGTTAGAGGCCAGGCGCAGTGGCTCACGCCTGTAATCCTAGCACTCTGGGAGGCCGAGGCGGGCGGATTGTTTGACCTCAGGAGTTCGAAACCAGCCTGAGCAAGAGCGAGACCCCGTCTCTACTAAAAATAGAAAGAAATTAACCGGACAACTAAAAATATATAGAAAAAAAATTAGCCGGGTATGGTGGTGCACGCCTATAGTCCCAGTTACTCGGGAGGCTGAGGCAGAAGGATTGCTTGAGCCCAGGAGTTTGAGGTTGCTGTGAGCTAGGCTGACGCCACGGCACTCACTCTAGCCCGGGCAAAAAGAGTGAGACTCCGTCTCCAAAAAAAAAAAAAAAAAAAAAAATAAGTTAGAAACAATGAGTCTGAAAGCTGTATCTGGGGAAATAGCTGGGGAAAGCTGTTGGCCAGGCAACTTACAGCAGCAAGATGGGCCTGCCTCCTGCAAAGGAGAAAAGAAAAACTATTTAAAAAAAAAAAAAAAAAGTCAAGAATGGAATCAATCCAAGTAGTCTGAGGCCATTTTGCAAAGCAAAACACTCCAAATATTTCAAGAACCTATATAATCGTTAACAGTTGCTGTGGGCTTACTATATGCCCAATTTTGTGCCAAGCACTCTATACAAATTAACTAATTTAATTTTTGTAAAAATTGTAGATAGACATTATCAGCCACATTTTAGAGATGAGGAAACTGAGAAAGTAGTCCAAGTTGACAAAGCTAATCAGTGACAGAGCTGAGATCAGCCAGGCAATCTGCCTCCACAATCCACACTGAGTATGGCCTGATGCAATCACTAAAGGAACGATAAACCGGAATCACCAACAAAAATATTTTAACTTTGTGCCATACTATCTAAGTATGAAAGCAGGGAAATGTCATGACACATTTGTAATGAATTAGCCCAAAGTCCAAGTGTTGCTACTGAAGGCTCATCCCACGACGAGGAGAGACCCAGGCATGGCGCTTGCCTGCTCTGCAATTCCCCAGCACCCTGAGCTCCACAGTCTGCTTCTCACATCCTTCTCAACAAACTCCTTCCCTAGGAAACCCTTCATCTTCCCCATGACAATTCAATTCAGCGACGACTCAAACCACAAGCTGCAAGGCTACCGAAGCTAAATGTGTACTCTGGTTTTCAGGCTCCATACCTCATCCTGGAGACAGCAGGGCTAAAAACATTTACACCAGATGCAAGTATGAAATGTTACCTCGTCTCCTATTTTTAATAGCACACACTTTAGCTTTGGCCATGCCCTCCAAGCTGACCAGATAATGACTTGCCCAACCCCACATCCTGAACCCACAGCAGAAGCCGGGTACTCCTAGGACAGGGCAGACACAAATCACAGGCTTACCTTCCCTTTCAGCGTCTGCAAAGCATCCAGGTAGGCTGCCAGCATGGGCAGACTCAACGTCTCCACAAGGGTGGTGTGCAGCCACTGGATCAGCTTGGTGTCCCAGCTCACACTTGCCAGAGCCTGCCGCACTCTCCTCGCACACTTGTCCACGGCAACACGGCGCAGCACTGGCTCATTACAAGCCTGAAGGATGTAAGTGGAAGTGATAAAACATGAGGACCACCTGGTTAGCAAATGGGGGGGACAAGTCAGTCAGCCAGCGAGGCCTGAACTAGCAGAAGCCCACCATGGGCGGATTTCTGGTGTCTTACCCCTTCATTGGCCAAGCGGGCAAGCCGGTCAGACTGCAGGGCTTTGAGGATCTTGTTGAATAGCTTGTTCTGGGCCATTGTCCAGCCAGTCCTATAAGGGAAACTCTGAGGAATTATAGTCAAACTCTGGGGATGCTCCCCATGTATGTACACCATATAAAGAAGATTATGCCACGTTTTTTGTTCCCACTATGAAAAGAGTATAACTGAAAGTAACTTAGTCTAAAGACCACTGAGCTAAAACACAAGACCTCGATTCTGGTGCCAACCCTGCCAATCAATCACCTCAGCACACATTTGTATTAATAATATACAAACTACAAGCCTAGACCAGTCACGAATGAAGTCTTTTAGGCTAGCAAAGCTAATTATTTACTTAGTGGCTAAAATAATCCCATTAGTAAATAAAAAGCACAGCATCATTGCACAGACATATTTAAATTTCTTAAGTTTTTATTTCACACAAAAAGGCAGATGGCATCAGCAAGCATTTTAATGTAGTAAAACCTCAGACTCAGGTAAGAGGTCTAGGCCAGGCACAGTGGCTCACGCCTGTAATCCTAGCACTTTGGCACTTTGGGAGGCCAAGGCAGGAGGATCACTCAAGCCCAGGAGTTTGAGGTTGCAGTGAGTTATGATGATGCCACTGCACTCTAGCCTGGAAGACAGAGCGAGACCCTGTCTCAAAAGAAAAGATCTATTTAAACTAGCCTTAAGAATAAAAAAAATAGCAAAAATACAACCAATAAAGTGGCTATTCTCCCATTCCTCAATACTCCACCCCACACTAATCTCTCCCTTTTCCATATATACTTTTGTATTTTTTCTATATGTCACACAATTAGCAGATTTATTTTTGAACTGCCTGTTCCCTATACACTAACATATTATTATCCCTACATGTAACACTGGCATTCACACATCTACCTTGTTTATGGATGGCTTTGTGTGTGCTTCTCCAACTCAGCTGTACACTCCTTGCAATTAGAAACCTATCCTACTCTTCTTATCCCCACCTCATGACACCCAGCACTGTGATATGGAGCTACTAATGTCCCCCTCACCCACTCCCAGCGATCTTAATTACTCTGATACTCTAAATCTGGCTAGTAGCCTTCCTAAAGATACTACGAGAAAGGCAATATAAGATGTTCAATTAATATTTGTTTACCTACTCTCCCTGCCATAAAAAGCTGGCGATTAAATTACTTTTTAAGATTTAAGTGAGTGCTAAACCCAGAGACTCTGCAATGAGGTCAAGGCAGCAATTCAAATCAGTCAGGACAAGGTCACTAAGTAGAGCTGAGACAATCACTAGCCAACTGGAAAAGAAAACCTGATCCTTACATATCACTCTTTACATCAAAATAAATTCAGATGGAATAAAAAGTTAAATAATAAAAATAAAACTATCAAAGTTATAGGAAAAAATAGTGATTTCTAAAAAAATTTCTAAAAATAGTGATATCTTGGAATGAGTAAGGCCTTTCTAAGGATGACCCAAAACCTAGAAGACATAAAAGGAACAGAGAGAAATGTAACTGCATAAAAATTCCAAACTTCAGTGAAGAAAAAAAACAAAGTATCATAAAGTCAAAACACAATGGGAAAGGACCTGTCATCTCATTAGAAGAGAAAAAGGCTCTAAAAATTAATAAGAAAAAGATGAACTACTCAATGGGAAAAGAACATGAGAAGGTAGGTCACAAAGTAGCATAGACAACCCCTCTTCAAAATTACATGCGAATTAAAATCATAAATTATTTTTACCTAGCAAATGGGTAAAAATTAAGAATGTTTAATAATACTATGTTGCGAAGGTACAAGAAAATAAATCACTCTGTATTCTGTTGATGGAAGTATAAATTAGTATGACCTTTTGGAAAAGTCAATTTGGTAAATTAGTCAAAAAACCTAAGTCAGGGCTGGGTGTGGTGGCTCACGCCTGTAATCCTAGCACTCTGGGAGGCCAAGGCAAGCGGATCATTTGAGCCCAGGAGTTCGAGACCAGCCTGAGCAAGAGCAAGACCCCATCTCTACTAAAAAAATAGAAAGAAATTAGCTGGACAACTAAAAATATATATAGAAAAAATTAGCCGGGCATGGTGGCACATGCCTGTAGTCCCAGCTACTCGGGAGGCTGAGGCAGTGGGATCCTTGATCCCAGGAGTTTGAGGTTGCTGTGAGCTAGGCTGATGTCACGGCACTCTAGCCCGGGCAACAGAGTGAGACTCTGTCTCAAAAAAAAAAAAAAAAAACTCAGTCAGAAAACAGCACTCCTCTGCACAAAATCCTTCCTTCAGTGGCCTCATTTCAATCAGTTAAAAGCAGAAGTCGTTGCTGTGGCTGTGTGGATTCCACTTCCTCTCCAACCTCACCATCCATGACTGCCCTCCCACTTACTTGCTTGAACCACACTGCCCATACCCCTTCCTCCCTTCTACACCCCCCACCCCCATCACAGACTGGGCCCCTGCTATTTATTGCCCTGACCTGAAACAATGGCTCCCTGTCTCACCTCCTTCAGGTTACTGCTCAATTGTCACCTACTACTGAGGCTTCCCCTGATTCACCCGTTTAAAAGTACAATAACTCAGTCCTACCCTGGGATTCCCTAACCTGCTTTCCAGCTGTATTACCACCTTATGTTCTATCCATTCTATTTATTTTAGTTTGTTTCTCTCTGCTAGAATGTAAAGGCCAAGATGGCCAGGATTTTTGTTGGGTTTACTTAAATGCTTTATTCCCAGCATACAAAACAGAGTCCAACACACACTGGGGAGTTAAACATCTGCTGAATAAATAAATGGATGAATTGTGTGCACACTGCATTCTGAGTTCTATAAACAGCTGGGTCCATATTCAAACTCTCACACTCCACAGCATACAAAGCACATGTGTACTGTGCAGCAAAGAGAAACACAGAAACATGATTTACGCTCAATGGTAAATTCCAAGATAGTCAAACTGCAGGAAAGCTGCTTGAAACACTATCAACAATCTCAATTTCTCTTACTACATAATAGAGTAGCATCTTTTCTATCATAACCCATCCCACAAGATACCCTAATTTCTACACATCATGGAACACCAATAACATGGCCCAGTAAGTATGCAGGTGGAGGAAAAATCACCCTTTGTTATTCACTTTGTACAACCAACCCAGCGTCCCTGGATAGAGTACATATCCTCTAGAAAGGGGGAAAATAATGGTCCAACTCCTTTTCCTTCTGTAAAACAGAACCTCCACCTACCACATCTCCAATTCTACAACTTACCTGTTACTCGGTCCCGGAGAACCCTAACTAGGGGCTAGGACTCTATCCAGCTCTGCAATAAAGAGCTGTGTGCCCTGGGTCTCCTTGTCCATAAAAAAAATATGGACTAGATGATCTCTAATTCCTTCTAACAATAAACAAAAAATTCAGGTTAGCTACGATTACTGATGACAGCAAAAGTTATGAAAGCAGCCAAAATCACTAACAGAAACAGAACGGGATGACTGTCTTCTTGAGAAGCACCCTCTATCTTCAAACACTTTCCTTGCTAAATCTTTTCGGTTTTTTTTGAGACGAGAGTCTCACTCTGTCACCCCAGATAGAGTGCAGTGGTGTCATCATAGCTCACTGCAACCTCAGACTCCTGGGCTCAAGGGATCCTCCTGCTTCAGCCTCCCCAGTAGCTGAGAATACAGGTGTGTGCCATCACACCCAGCTGATTTTTCTATTTTAAGTAGATACACGGTCTCACTTTTGCTCAGGCTGGTCTCGAACTCCTGAGCTCAAGCTATCCTCCCGCCTCGGCCTCCCAGAGTGCTAGCTAGGATTACAGGCATGTGAGCCACCACGCTGGCCGCTAAATCCTTTCTTAACTGCCAAGGCCTCCCAACCTTTTGTACCTTCCTTGTGGAGGTACTAGAAGCAGTCTTAGGTTTCTTGGGATTATCCTATTTCTTCCCTAGTTCTCTCAGCTTAATTACTGCTACTTCCTCAGGATCCAGTCAGTTTTTGATGTGGTTTGATATTCAGAGATTCTAGACTTGGGAAGAGGTAGGGGGACTCAGGATACCTTGGGACCAGGAAGGCTCGTTGGGACCAGTAGCTCCAGCCCGTTGCTTCATAATCTTGTTTTCCTTTACATTATTTAAATGCACAGCATACTCACATGAGTAACATTTCTCTTATGTATAGTGATTCTCACATGGGCTTGAGGATTTGGTGGTGGCAGGGGACAGGATGCTCACAAGTAGTTTGAAAAAGCTCTCTAGAGATACTTGGGTATATTTCCATATTAATACAACTCTCGTTTTTAACGGCTGGTTAGGTTCTACCCTATTTGTGGACATTTAAGTTGTGCATCTTTTATTGCTATTTATAAATAGTTACAGACCATCCTTCCCTTTCCCCCCAGTACACACACACACACACACACACACATACACATCTATCTATCTATCTAAATTTATATACTCATGCAACTATCTCTGTAGGATAAATTTCTTGAAGTGGAAATGAAAGATCAAAGGCTATCTGTGTTAAAATTTTTGAATTTCCAGTTCTGTGAAAATAATAGGTACAAAGAACCTGTAGTATTTTGAAAGTGGTATTATATTACAACCTTACCTCCAGCAATAATGCTTATTTATAATCAATCAGGTTAAGCAAATACAATTTCTTCACATTCAACAATCTCTGGAGTTTTCTCAAAGCCTACTGATCATGTTGCAAACTTTAATTCCAAGAACAGAATGAGGTATAATTTATTTATGACACACCAACAGCATTTCCAAAATTATCTTGTTCTTTATTATATAACAGGATGTTTTCCCTATTTGTTTTTCTTACTCTATATTTATTCTGAAACCCAAAATGATGGGAGCAAGAAAAATGATGTGAACAAAAGGGGAGGAGGGTTACAAAGCTATTTAGAAATTACTACCACACACCAATGACAGCTGAAATTTAAATTTAAAAACCACAATGTTGAAAGTCTAAAATCCCAGAAAAAGTTCTTAGGACTGCTGCTGGATATATAACAAAGTGATTCCAAGAACGGAAACATGTTCTCTATATTTTGTCAGCTTCGTGGGAG